TATTGTCGCATACTTTTAATAATCGACGAATAAAATAAGATTGCATAATTAAAAAATTTACACACGTGATTGGGTGTTAAAAGATCATTCATTAAGCTTTTACATACAGGAATTCTAAAGAATATTTTGGGATCAAAATCTCCATATTGTTACCTATCATTATTCTCTCCATCTAGTTGTTTAAGACGTGGCATTATTCATAGAATTGATGGAGATTTTTAAATGACCAAGACTCCGGAAATAGAACAGCTACAGTTAAAATAAAAGATGTTAAGTTTATAGAAACTGTTTTTGATGTAATTACGAGTTTTTTTTTTAAAGCATATTGACCCAATAACAAAGTTACTATAGCACACAGTTTGGTATTTATTAGAGTTCCCATGCCGGGAACCAATGGCAACACGCTGGGCACTAGTGCTATTGCCCAAGTGCCCGTCTTTTTTTTATTTGGCACCGATGCTTCTACCCTGTGACATTGCCTGCCCGCTGGATATTTTTATGAGCTTATGACATTTTTAGTATACTTTTGCAAAATGGGGAGATAAATAGTTTAAATAGAACTCTGTTATATAATAAAATATTTATAAATTACAGGACACTTACAAATGAGACTTAAATTTCGCTACCTTTGTGTCCACCTATTCCACTTTCGTGTTTACATTCCACATTTGTGTTCGCATTTCACTATTGTGTTTGCTTTCTGATGGAATATTTGACAACAATATATTATGACGACTCTATTTCAAATAACTCACTAGAGAATAGTATCACAAAAAAGATAATAATCATATAGTACCAAAGAAACATTGGATAAATGTGTTGCATGATAATCAAAATGTTTGGCAATGTCTGCATCGTTGAAAGAAACAATACTCGAACAATACTAGCAAAGCACATTTTAAAAAATATGTGCATTCATGGCTTAAAAGAAATTTAGAAAAAATCTAGTCCTAACGATCTGCCAGAAACAAAGTAGTATACTTTAATAAATCGTATTTCTTAACCGAAATAAAGTAATATTTCTTTGCTAGTTAAAATACTGTTTGTATAAACATGTAATAGGTTCTATGTCAGGCACCATTGTCACCGTGCCAGAGCCAATGCCCACCCAAGTACCCAGCTTTTTTTTATTAGGAACCGGTGCCCATGCCCAAAATTTTAAAACTATTGCTTAACATTGAAAGCAATTAAAATAACTTTTATACCAATAGGAACCTCTGTTTCAGCTTTCTTTTAATGTTTTTATTCAACTATTACTGAGAAACCAATAAAAATAAATTTCCGGTTTTTTTTGCAACACACTGAGCTAAAATCTGTAAATTTAGAAATCTCTTCTAATGAAGATTTTCTTCAATTAATTTTGACAAGTGAGATTTACCTAATAAAACAATTTACATAATTAATTACAGTTATTTATTACTATTATCAAGTATGCATGTACATTATCTGGATCTTCACCAACTTTAATTATTAATGTTGTGTCAGATGAATCTGAAATACCATATCTATTTAATGATTCATTTATTATTATTATTATAATAAATACACATGAAGAATTTATGCATTACATTATTTGTAGTTGGAGAAAGGTTATATACAATTTCTGAATGGACATTATGAATGAGTTTTTAATAATCCGAGATTTTCATCACTATTATTAATTGAAATTTATATTGGTTTCATAAACATATGACTCCATAACATATAAATAAATAAATACCACTTTAGTATTAACATAATTTAATTATGAATCATGAGATAATAATCTTTTTTGGAAATTCTGTTGAATTTTTGACATTATTAAATAATGAAATATGGATTAAGCTCCGGTTTGGATAAAGTTTAGTATTAGTATAAAATCATTATTAATACGGATATTTATTAATATTAAATATCCAAATTTACTGGTATGCTTCACTAAATTCATGTTTCAAAGAAAATTTTATATATCATATAAAAATCACATGATTTTTAAAAGCTTATAACTCGACTATATAGAATTGGTCAGATAAACACTTGATGCTCCCTTATTAAGCTTTAAAGATGGTCAAATTATGTGTTATCGTGGGGTACCAACATGCGACGGGTTTAAAAAATATGTATTTTTCAATACCGATCAAATGAATCAAGATATCAAATTTCGTCACTCTTAACTCATCAAAAAAAAAAAAAAGTTTCTCCTGAGCTTATAAAAAATCATATTAAATCTATACGCATGCCATATAATTTTCTTTATTTTTCAAAATAAAAAATCCTTCAAAAATAATATCTTTCTCTGGAAAATGGAATATTCCGATAGAAGTCAAAATCCATTTTTTTCATCATCTGCGACATTTGAGTCTGATGATTTATGTTCACCAAAAATCGAATTAAATATTAATGATGATCATTCTCCTTCCACACCATCAAGTTCACCAGTACTTTCAGATTCCTTAGAATCCTTTTCGTCAACTCCAACTTCGGATTTCTCGTCATCATTGTACACTGGATTTTCCTCTTTATCCTTAACATCATCACCTTGCTCCAATTCTTCCAATTCGCCCTTTACCAATTCTAAAGAGAAAGAGGAGTTGAGCGGAATAATTATGTCTAAATATCTTCAATTTATCAATCAAAAATTATCGTTGCCAAGTGATCGTATCACAGATATTATTGAAGTAGATTTTCCAAGAGACTTATCGATACCAATGTTTTATCAATTACTTAGTCAGATGAATACAATTGGTGTACAAATATTTAAACAATGTACAATTCTCAAATTTGTCAGTTTTGCTGAATGGAATAATTGTCATCTTAATAATAACTTTATTAGTAATAATTTTAGCAACACGAATGAAAATTCTTCTGGAAATAAGATATATTTATGGGAATTGATGGATCATATTAATAACGATAATAATAATCATTATAATTATTGTCTACAACGTCAACATCAATTCGAAAATTCACTTCCAGCAGCTTCCACTTCATCGTCATCAAAGTATAATAATTTGGAGATGATTGGATATGGTAATTATTTGTCATGCCAGAGCGAATTGTTTTCAAAGATATTTTATCATATTTCATCATCAATATTCCATTGTCCAATTCGGTCCAACAAATATTATTTAACAAGAGTCACAATTCCAATTCCATCAATTTCCACCATTGAACTAATAATCAATTGGTTGTATACTCATAACGATCAAATCTGGTTATCGGCCATGAATAAAAATAATTTCGAAGAGGTAATTACTTTTATGTGGATTGTGTAAAAATTTTTCAAATTAATTAAATTTAATTTTTTTACCAAAAAAATAAAAAATAAAAAAAAAATATAGATTTGTAAGAATGTCATTTTCCTTGGATTAGGAGATGAGGCATTGAAAGTATTAGAAATCTTTCTAAGTGAAAATATCAATATGTTATGAATAATAATAATAATAATAATAATTATTATTATTCGATCAATTAACACTTTAAAAATTAAATTGTATAATATAAATATAATAGCTTGCTTCTGAATAAAAATACAAAATGGCATAACAATGTTTTAACATGTTTTCTAAACAATTGGTTGCCATTTTCAATAAATTAATGAGTTCTTGTCGAAACATAACCTATTAAAAAAATTAGTCAGATGTGAAACCTCCTGAAACTCCTTTTGTAGGTTTTTACTTTTGGCTTGGGCTTGATAACCTTTAATGAGTTGCTGTTTTAATTGTTCCTCGCCTAATTCCTTTTCCAATACTTCCCTAATAAAAGTGCCAATTTTAAAAGTATAGGATTAGAGGTTGGAATCAATCAACTAAAATAGTTGACTAATACTAATTATAATTTAATCGACTAAAATAGTCGACTAAATTTTTTTTTTGGACAACTAATAAACGATTATCTTGGTCGACTAAATAGTAATAGTCAACTATTTTAGCTGATTATTTAGTCGACTATTTTAGTTTACTATTACTATTACTATTAAGTCGACTATTTTAGTTGACTAATTAATCGACTACTAATGCTACTAATACTACTAATACTAATATACTAATACTAATCTAATACTAATACTAATACTAATATACTAATACTAATACTAATACTAATACTAATACTAATACATGCTAAAACTTTTGTAGGATTTCTTTAAAATCCCGGTTTTTACAAATATATCAGGAAGATGGGGGATTTCTCTATTTCCACGTGCTATTGAGCTTTTATTTTTTATCCAAAATTAATAGAAAATACTACTCCAGAATTAGAAACATTCAGAAAATAACGAGAAATGGTCCATAGTATAATTCATTTACTAAATAATCTTTAATTTTATCCCAAAATTTTCTAGATGTTCAATTAATAATTTTATGAATCTTGGCATAAAAATAAAAAATAAAGATTTTGATTGAATAAAATTTTTTTAAGTAATTGTTGAAAATAAATATTTTTTTTTTTTTAATTTATAATTAGCACAAAAATAAATAAAACGTTTTCTATATACCCACAGTCAAATCTCGTTATAACGAATTTTGCGCATTTAATTAGGTTATCGTTATAACGAGGGTTCGACTGTAGTTCTATTGCCAATCTAAATAATACATCACAGATATTATTAATACCAGACTTAATGAGATATAAAATATCAGATTTAATAAGATATAACATTAGATATCAGATTTAATAGATATAATATAATAGAAATATAATAATAGCTGATAGTAATAAATTAAAATTAAATTAAATATATATATATATATATATATTATATATATAAAATAATGTTCAATATAAATAATATGTGACTTGAAAAAATCTAAAAAAGTTATTTAATCATAGTCACCAAATACGATAAAATGATAAATTAATTATTCCAAATCATCACCATCAATTTATCAACTAATACTATCCATATTATTCACCATCATTATCATCATCATTATTATTATATAATTGGTAAAAATAAAAATATATAGAAGTTCAAAGGAATGACTGGCAACACCAATACCAATAACAGTAAGAACAAAGATCTAACAAAACTATTATCAAAATAAAAAAAATTAAATTGATTAATATTAACGTTGAATTTTATAAAGGTTATTAATTAGATCAATCAATCAAACCATCAATTAAATAATTAAGTGAAATAATCAATTACCTTCCACCTGTTGTTACAGACGACACAGGTAACAAAGGTGGTCATTGGTTCATCAGCAGATCTTGTCTAATTATTATTATCAGTGAATAAAAATAATTAATTATAATTTTTTTGATTAATTGATCAACCTTATAAAAGAATTTTTTTTTTTGGTGTGTACCTGCATCTGATAGTAAGTTGTTTCTCTTTTTCCGCATTTACCACATCTGAACATGTTTGTTTCAGATTTAGGTGGTGCAGCACCACGAGCTTTTAAATGATTGTTGTTTTGAATGGCTCTATCACGGGCTCGCATTTCTTCAGATGCCATTTCCTTTTATTTTTGAAAAAAAAAAATTAAATAAAAGGCCTATACAAGCAATGCAAGTAGATAAAATTTTTAATAATTTAATAATATAATAATTCATACTTACTTCCTTTGACATTGTGCAAAAACGCTCCACTGTGATAGTACCATCAACTACCCCGTGCCTGAGCTTTGGGTTATTTTTAGCTTTTAAATTAAGTATCAATCCTCTGAGTTTATCACGATATTCTTTAGCTGGATTTCCATTATTTTGCTTTAGTACAATGGATTCAATTCGTTCGGATCTGCTTAGGAGAACTTCTGAAGCTATATATGTATTATATTAAAATAATTAAGATTAGGATTAACAATCATCACAATTAATAAAAAGTTAAATAATAACCAACTTACATGCCGTAGAATCGAATGCCATGGCATTATACAATAATCCTACACATGTATTTCTAGTTTTATCGCCAGAGCCTTCATAACTATCAATTTCAATTTCAAATTTTCGTTCTTCGTTTGCGGTGGTGGAAAGTGGCGGCGATGTATCAGTAGAACTAGTTTTAGTTGGTGTGGATCTTATTGTATTATTTCTTGCTTTCTTTATGAAATTGGTATCATCAGTAGTACTAGTTGGAGAATCAACAGGTGAGCCGGATGATTCCGATTGTGATATATTTCTTTTTGTTTGTTTTGTAACAACGGTAGTTGTGGTTTTAGTTATGATTTTATTAGTAGTTACTACATTGTCTTTATTTTTTGATGATAAATTGGTTACAGCAGTTCTAGCTTTTTTTAAGATTTTGATTTCAGCTGTGTTAGAGGAACTATTAGTAGGAGATGGCGTAGTATCAGTTGGAGAGCCTGTCGATTCATGCTCTGAATGGCTTCTCTTCAATAATTTTTTATTATTGATAGATTTATTGTTTGTATGTGAACTGACAGCGCTTTTATTGTCATTGTTAATTTTTGGTTGATTTTTTCCCTTTTCTTCTTCGTACTGGTATTTCCATTTTTTAACAAGCCGTTTTGCTTTAGTTGAAATTTCTTTATTTTTATTATTTTTTCCTATTTCAGAAAGAAAAACTCCTATTTTCGTTTCCTATATATTATTATTACAGTTACAATTGATTATTATAAATATATATATATTTAAATGAACAATAATGTGCATATAAGAGTATACAATGTAATAAATTGATAATATAATGTATACATGAAAAAGCTTATAATATACCTTTAGGAGTTCTTTATTATAAACTAATTCTTTATCAAGTCTATTCATAATTTCTAAAGCCTTTAGATAAGCGATAAACGTTAAATAATTGAACGAATCATTAAATTAATCGTTAAACCGTAACATGATGTGTCTATTGATGTTATTTATATAATAGTAGTGAATTTGTCAGATGCTTACATCATCTTCTTCTTCTTTATCAAGTACTACTTTTAAATCTTCTTTAATTTTGTTTACTTCTTCGGCGTTCAACATGGTTTTTTGTCTAATTATTAATAGTAAAGAAAATATTAATATTTAATATCAAAGAATGTAAAATGGCAACAAAAGTGAACATTATGTCACAAATAAATTTCAGGGTTCAAAAATTTAGCAAATTAATATTAATATTAATAATGTTAATATTAATTCGCAGGGGCACATTTACTAATGATTAAATTGTTATTATTATTATTATGTTACATACATTAATTTATGCAGAACAGAAAAAATGGCAAAAAACATGGAAATCCAAAAAAAATTTTTTTATTTAATAAAAGTTTAGAGAGAAAGCTATAGAAGTAGTCGCCATTTTAAAGGTTTAGGTTAAATATTTTATATCTACGCCGATTGTTTTCCGTGTTGTTGTTACTATGTTTCTATAATTTTTTTCTAAATAAAACTACTCTTTTAGCATACACTATGATATAAGTGCGCTCGTTTATGAACTATGTGAACTTCCATATTGAAAGGGTTATTGCTTTGCTGAAAATGATCATAATGAAATAACACCACATAAAATAATAGGTTTTTTTTGTTTAATATGTTTGAAATTTGTGGTGTAGTCGCCATTTTGAAAATAAGAAACTTACTATGTTATCCTAGCCCTGCCCGATCTTATATATATATAAAATTTCTTGGTTGATAAATGACATCACAACCGTGCTACCCAAATTTTGAGTAATAATAGTCAACAAATTTAAATGTATAAATGGGCACGTTGCAAAAAACCAGACAAAAGTGAACGTTTGTATTATCAAGGATTTCAGGGATCAAAATTTAGTCATTATCGTCAATTAATATTAAGCAAATCGATATTGTGCATTAATCCATTGAATGAATGATATGTATAATATGATGATTGTAAAATAGTAATTTTATATATTAATATCACGGGAAATCAATAAATAAATCGTAAAAGTTGCACGCAAATAAAATCGGAAAAACTGATCAAGTATTCAAACCAGTCCAATTTCATATTTTTATTTAATCATCAATAAAATAATTGACTCACGGAAAATATCTCAAACAACAGATACCTTTAATTCTTAGATTTAATTTAAACGAAGGAATTTAAATGATTGGATCACTTTAGAAAATAATTCTACACAGAAGGTTCAAGTAATACATTTAATTAGAATAAATTAGAATTTCAAAAAAATCGGAGAACTAGATGATAGAACCTTTAGCATGTATAAATAACGTTGTAATTTTCTTAACTTCATGTATGATCATCAATATCATCATAATCATTAATATCTTTTTAATCATCATAATAAATAACACTGTCCTTGACCTTGACGAATATTATATTTTCGTAATGTATAACTAACAATAAATACATACTAATCCCGTGCTTAACCATATTCTCACATTTTATATCCGACACTATATTATTATTATTTTACTATATTACCAGGGGGGCGCCTTTGGTAAGTGCAGTTGTATATATTTCTTTTAATTTTGTTTTCTTTATTTTTATTTAGCTTAGGCCAACGCCTAAGAGGAGCAAACCCTAACTAGGTACGGTCAGTCCAGGCATTGAACCTAAAATACAACAAACAAAGCCCAACCCGATCGCGGCTAAGCAACAATAATAAGAAAGCCTAAAGAACCGAGGCGGATATTTAGGAAAGTAAATATCTTGGGAACGTGCCGGCTCAGGCAGATAACAGAGAACTGCTAAGAAAACGTTACCGGACGGGAAGTAAAATTAGTGATGTTAGCCGTTTAAAAATTCCTTAGACGGCTAACATCACTACCATCAAGTTATGAAATTTTTTGTGGTGATGGAATTTATGGAAAGATAAGCAGTATTGCCATCGGACATGGACTGTCCGCCACTTTAAATGCCACGGAGAAAAATATAAAATATTCTTGTAAATAATGCGAGGGCAGCCATTTGGTCAACCTCGATTATTTTACGTTTATGGCCGAGAGTTTCGAGTTAGTAAGCTTTTATATTCGATGCTCGTCAATTAATTTATTTTACAAAATTAGACTGCTTACTGCCTCTTTATTGCACCTGAAAGCTTTTGGCGAATCTGTAAGCACAATTAACAACGAATTACGATAAATAAAGATGGCCCTTCTACAAAGCAACAATGGCTCGTATAGAGTTCCTTTTTTATTTACTTTACTTTGATTTTTCTTTGGTAGATTAAAATCAGGCGTACGTTCGCAACAATTACTTTAATATTAACACAATAATCAATACATGATAATGATTTTTGTCAATAACTGTTAGCTCTATGTATAGGTGATCAATCAGTAATAACTGTTCACTAATGCTTTTCCGATCAATCTTATCACCTTATGTTTACATTAAACCCGTTTAAAAAAAATTAAACAAAACGTTTACGCTTAACAAAAACCAACCATCAAACCTTTACTTTATAACAAAGCAAATGACCAAACCATTGCTTTCACCAAGAAAACAACCAAAATCACAAAGTTATATACCATTCTGTTAACCAAACAGACAATTCAATCTTACTGTATAATTTCTGACCATAAAAGTGTTTTATGAAAATGTTTATCACCGAACGAATTAATTTTTAAAAAATATCAAATTTCTGTCTTTACTCTCTCTCTGAATTACCTAGTTTCACCCATTGAAAATAAAATAAAAGACTTATTTTCAATTTTTTCAAATCCAAAATTGAACCATACTAAAGAAACAGATATATTTACGCGTTTTATAACAATAATATTTTTTTTGTGAATATAAACAACAGGAACTTAAATTGAGGTAAGGAATTCTGACCAGGCACTACAAGAAAAAATAATAATTTAATTTGCTTATTAAAAGTCTGGAAATTCAAATCAAGTTTGTGAAATACAATCAGATAATGACAACTTGTGTATACCTGTTTATGTTATCACGTATTATAAGAAAGACAAATGACCAACAAATACTGAATTTGAATTGTTTTTTTTTGAGAATTGAAATCAAAAATAAATATCGAGAGAAAGAAAAATTAAGAATTATTAAAAGGTATACGTAATTATTGTGGTAAAGTCACATATATAGTAAACCATTCTCTTAGAATTACTGGTATAGTTCAATTATCAAAATTAGGGTTCCAACAAATCAAATTGTGGGCCTTTCTAGACATCGCTTTTTAGCAGGCTTGAGTTCATATCAAGAAATTACAAAAAATAAATGTTTCATTATCATTGATTCTATTATCAATAACTAACCCACATATAGATTTGAAAGAAAGATCTGGTGAACTAATTGTTTTTATTTGATGTAACTTTATAGAGATTTTTATTTAAATTGAAATTGCTTTTCAAAAAAAATTTAAAAGGAGTAACAATCATCCAGGAAACCTTAGATATTTTAAAGAAACCTTTCAAAAAAAAAAAATCAGGTGACAATAAATTATTTGTTGTAGGAAATTTAAATAACCGATAATAATAACAACATGATTCCTATAATCAATATGTATGTTACACTAATATCATATGAACTGAATCCATTTGTACACTGTGTGTGCTGATCCCGAAAGCTAAATATTTATCAATTTTTAAAAAACCTGATTATCTTTCAAATGATTCAAATTGGGCAACTATTTGCATACAATCATAGTAAACATAGTAATTTAGCTTGAATTTTAAAATGATATATCTCAGGTTCTATGCAACTTAATTGAAAAATCCAATCGTCAGTTTATAGCTTTGTTTAAGATAAACAAAATGATGATTAGGTCATTTCAAAAAGTTTTCTCTATCTTGCTGAATATCCTTTTTAGGAAAGGTATTTTTATTGAATGTGTACTTGTGATAGGCACTATACATTATCTAATAAATAAACAAATAAATAACCAAAAAAACCGGTAATTTAAAATCAGGACATTTCTTTAGATAATGGATGATCTTTTTTGTTTGGAAACCATTTTTTCTTCCCCTCCTAATTTTTCAGCACTTACTTTACAAAAAAGGACTTGAATTCCTTTGGTTTACTTTAATATTGCTTCTAATAATATGCTGGATTAATAAAGGTGGTAAAGGCTTAACTTGTGGTTTGTACTACTAGTCCCGGACATATTAATATCAAAAGTCCGGGACACTTAAAGAAATGAGTGATACGTCCGCATGACTAATTGTTGTGTGACATTTTCGGACAGTGTCAATATTAATATATTTGACGGACATTTCTTGTGTAAAACACCGAATATTTTAGAAATGATTCTTCGGTTATTTCGGAGATTGAAATTTGTTTAAAAAAATTGGTTTTGAATTATGAGTTTCGGTGTTCCATTAATAAAATACTAAATATGGACCATTGATGGATAACACGTCAACAACTTTTCAAAAAATGAATTGGCATCTTTAAATACGAAAAACGATGTTTTTATTATTATTACTATTATGATTTGTTGAATCGAAGATTTTTGTTTGTAAAAACAATAACGAGTTCTAATTGTGCTCGTAATATTTATATTAAACATTACACACAACAATAAATGTTTGTCCAACATATCCCATTGTACTAATATTATAGATAAGCAAAATAAAATACGTTTCAATTCTTAAAAATTTAAAAATTTAAAAAAAAATAACGAGCAAAAATCATAAAAATTCACATCCGTTAGAAAAACATTATAATAAGATGAAAGAGAAAGAAAATTATAATAACAAAGAAGAAAAGGATGCCGGTTATGATGATTTTAAAATCATTGACGGTAGAAAATTTATTAATGTAGAGGAATCTTGTGCATTCTTGCCTGTTGATCACAGGGTAAATTATAAGTTGGTTAATTATTAGTTTCCTAAAATTTTTCTAAAAATTTTTATTGTTTCATATAGTCAATGTCTATAATGGAAAAACTTGAAATTATATCACAACATATATGGAATGGTAAATTTTCTTCTCCTGTGAAAGAAACATTAGATAATGGTGGTGCATTTGTAATAGATGTTGGGTAAATTGGTTGATTTTAATAATATTTAATTCAATTCTATGACAATCTAATAATTATAGATCAATT